TCCGGCCCGCTCAGTTTGGAATTCTGATGCTTGCCGCTGCTCGTCGCGCACGCTTGGAGCTTTGGATTCAGATTTCACAGTTCGGTTCCGAACGGTCATAAAATAGTGGTGTGTGCGTGTGTTACCGCACCTGTGCCGGGCGCGGTCCGGGGTCACGTGCTAGGCCCCGCCAGTGCTCGGTGTCCGTCCCGGGCTGACATGACCTGTCGACGCCCGGCGACCCACCTGCCCCATTTGTGCGCCGTCACGTGGGGCTTCATGCGGCCCGCCCCGCCCCGCTCGCCTTCGTCGCGACCATGGCGTCCGCGAGGCGGCGGTGGGCTTGGCGTGCTTCTCACATGTCTTAGTGGGGAGAGGGGACAACGCGGTTTCAGAGAGAGCGGTGATCCCCCAACGAGACTAAGAGGGCTCGTCATTATCGTCGTCAATGATTTGGATGCCGCTTTGATTCGTACCCGGCATTGTGATGAGCTATGACCTGCGGCAAGCCCAGGATCGGCCAGACCACACGAGCGTGAACTGGCCATTGGCTGTCCCAACTTCAGCAATCGCGGAAGGATAGTGAGTGGTGGTTCTAGTCATTGTGTTAGCATGCCACCGTCTGTCCACTAGTTGTTCTCAGCCAACAATAAAACAACGGCTTGCTGGGCCACGAGGAATGGGACGACGCCGTTCCGAACCGCGCTAGTCAAATGGCGGTCTCCCACGCCATGTTAGGCTTTGTGCCCGGGAACAAATTATCGAGTAATCACGCTTGGTCCTAAAAAAGGCAATTGCCTTGCGACTATTATGTGGTGTTCTTTTGAATGGGGTGCTCTGCAAAAAGGAGTCTGGGGTCGATCTGAGAGAGGTAGAATGAAGTGCGTCTGGTCACTTGTGATTGGATGAAGGGTACTGCCCTGTCGTATGCCATCGAAAGTCGGTGTCCGCGTTGGTATGTCGCGACAGAATCAATGACTGGGAGACCGGAAAAAACCAACAGAGGCGCGCCAGCCCTGATCGGAGGCGGCTCGAGAGCAGCCGTATCCGGCCTCCGTCCGCCGTCTATGCTGACCCAGCCCGAGGCCCATGTCCTATGTGGGGGCCAGAGTTCCCCTTGGCCAGCGTGACCCGGCCAGGAGCCCAGACCGGAGCGGCAGCAGAGCTGCAGCACCGCCTCCGCTCGCGGCTGGCCGGTGTCGGCGGGAGCGGTTAGAGCGGCTGCCTCCGGGTGCCGGTCGGACGCCGGGGCCGGGCGCCGCGTCCGTCCAGCGTCACCCTGCCGCCGGCGGCCGGGTGTGCTGGCGGCGGCGGCGACCGTTCCCCTCTCCCCTCGAGCGGCGGCAGCGCGACACCGGGCGGCCGGGTGTGCTGGCGGCGGCGGCGACCGTTCCCCTCTCCCCTCGAGCGGCGGCAGCGCGACACCGGGGGCACGAGGGGAGCGGCGGCGCGGGCCATCGATCCCCGCTCCCTTCGCTGTCGGCACCGGCGCGCCGGCTCGGTCCGTCGGCACGGCTCAGATGACATCGGTGGCCGTCGCCGCTGTTACCACGCCGTCGGGAATTGTGACCCAGACCATGTTGTATCCTTGGGGGCTTAGAGATGCCGTTTTGGTCGTGGACATATGTAATTTCTTAATCGCCACGAAGGGCGAGCATTGACCTGACCTAGAAGCCCACCTGTTGATGTGAGCGAGGCGGAGGGGCGTCATCACATGTATTACTTGCCAAGCTTTACGATGGTCGTATTAGTGGTTCCTTCGGTGGCTTCTAGCCCATTTGGATGCTAAATGCCGCTAATGCGTTATGGATGCAGGAACAGTGTGACGGGGCATTGCGTCTCCCCAGTTTCGTAAGTTTGAAATTAACTGACGAAGCATGGAGAGAGTCGTGTTGCAGATGGGATTTGCCCTCTGGTTGCCGACGGTCTTCATCCCCTGTCTTTCCGTCCTCGCCTGGCTCATGAGTTAATGTAGGCCTGCCAGCGTAAGGTTGAAGAAGCGTTCTGTTCACGTCTTCGCTAAGGTTCCTGTAAGATTGTCCATTCGTGCAAGTAGCCGGGCCTTGACCGGTGGGCGCGCTGGTGTCATGGGGGTTGTCTTCTACCTCAGTCAACAGCTACCCCCCCCCCCTTCTCCCCCTGCTGGAGGACCATAAATGCTGGGTTTCTAGCCGGTTTCCGGCGGCGCCTCTCCCATCATATTGACCGCGTGCTCGTCTGTCCTGACCGGGTGTGCCTGCCGCCGCCGCCGCCTGACGCTGCCGTGGCCGTGGCCGTGGCCTGTGTGGACGGCGGCGGTCGCTCTAGCCCGGCGTGTGTTGTTTCAGCGGTCGGAGTCGGCGCACCTCCCGTCTGGGCGGTCCGCATCGGTCGCGTCCTGCCGACCCGCGCTCGGCCGCTGCCCCCTCAGCTAAGGTGCGGCGCCGGCCACGGGCCCCGCGCTTTTGTGGCGCGCCCGTCTCCGAAGGCATGGCCAAACATACTTGAACTGCTTGTTTAGTCGCGCGCTGACCGATATCGATGTGTTGTCAGTCAATTGTACTTCTTATTTTTTTGCCTGTTTCCTGCATTGTAGCTGACGTCCAATCCATATTGTAGATCTGGACCTCTGTACTGAAAATGCCCCTCGTGTACGCACCGGTGTCTCTCCGGTTTCCAGACGCCTGGGCCGAGCCTTGCTCCGACGCTGTTTTGTCCGCAGGCCCTGCTGCGGGTGACCGTTTGGCAGCGCTCCGTCCGCAGGCCGTGCTGCGGGTGACTGTTTGGCACCGCTCCACCCGCAGGCCCTGCTGCGGGTGACCGTTTGGCACCTCTCCGCCCGCAGGCCCTGCTGCGGGTGACCGTTTGGCACCGCTCCGCCCGCAGGCCCTGCTGCGGGTGACCGTTTGGCACCGCTCCGCCCGCAGGCCCTGCTGCGCGGGTGACCGTTTGGCACCGCTTCGCCCGCAGGCCCTGCTGCGGGTACCGTTTTGGCACCGCTCCGCCCGCAGACCTGGGCGGGTGACCGTTTGGCACCGCTCCGCCCGCAGGCCCTGCGCGGGTGACCGTTGGCACCGCTCCGCCGCAGGCCCGCAGCTGGGAGTGGCGGCGCCGGGCTGCACGGCGGGCTGCTGGCCTCGGTGTTTGACGAGGTGGGTGCGGCGTCGCCGGCCGGCAGCGCCCGGCCCGGCAACGCGGCCGGCCGGACGCCGCCGCCGCAGCCGCCGGAGACGCCAGCTTCAGCCAGTACCTGGCCTACAGCAGCGACGAGGAGTTCGAGGAGTTCCTGTGGGTGATGCCGCCAGTCGTGTGGTGGACCGTGGGGCTGGGAAGCCTGACATGACTGCTCAGTACAGTAAATGGTTTCAGGCCTGTGTGCTGTGGTTATCCGGCTGATGTATACGGAAGCTCTTGTCGCTAGCTTTCTGTGTGTCGATGTGTGTACCAATGTGGCAGAATGCGATTGCCTTGAATTGATTTGATTAGAGCACTCACCACTGGTTTCGGGGCTTGTGTGGCGATGGCTCAGGTATGTTGTGCTTTCAGTCCCTCGCCGAGGCCATACCCCAGCTCCCGGTTCATGCTGACGACATACCACAGTCCTCAGTCCTCGCTGAGGATATACCACATTTCTCAGTCCTTGCTGATGACATGTCAGTCCCCAGTCCTCGCTGAGGATAACCACGTTTCTCAGTCCCCGATGATGATATGTCACAGCCCCAGTCCGTGCTGAGGACATGCCACAGACCCCAGTCCTCGCTGACGGCATGTCACAATTCCAGTCCTCGCTAATGATGTGTGACAGTCGCCAGTCCTCTCTGGTGACATACAGCAGTCCCCAGTCCTCGTGACGACAGTGCCACGACCCCCGGTCCTCGCTGACGACATGTCACAATCTCCAGTCCTCGTAAGATAGTGGACAGTCGCAACAGTCCCTCGCTGGTGACATACAGCAGTCCCCAGTCCTCGCTGACGACATGCCACAGACCCCAGTCCTCGTGACGGTCAATGTCACCACAATCTCCAGTCCTCGCTAATGATGTGTGACAGTCGCCAGTCCTCTCTGGTGACATTACAGCAGTCCCAGTCCTCGCTGACGATGCCACAGACCCGGTCCTCTTGACGGCATGCCACAGTCCCCAGTCCCAGCTTGTGACCTACCCTAGTCCCAGCCCAGCTGTACCCTAGTCCAGTCCCAGCTTGTGACTACCCTAGTCCCCAGTCCCAGCTTGTGACCTACCCTAGTTCCCCAGTCCAGCTTGTGACCTAACCCTAGTCCAGTCCCAGCTTGACCTACCCTAGTCCCCAGTCCCAGCTTGTGACCTACCCTAGTTCCCCAGTCCACCTTGTGACCTACCCTGTCCCCAGCCCAGCTGACGACATGCCACAGTCCCCAGTCCCATGGACCTCTAGTCCCAGTCCAGCTTGTGACCTACCCTAGTCCCCAGTCCCAGCTTGTGACCTACCCTAGTCCCCAGTCCAGCTTGTGACCATACCCTAGTCCCCAGTCCACCTTGTGACCTACCCTAGTCCCCAGTCCCAGCTGACGACTGCCACAGTCCCCAGTCCCACCTTGTGACCTACCCTAGTCCCCAGTCCCAGCTTGTGACCTACCCTAGTCCCCAGTCCCAGCTTGTGACCTACCCTAGTCCCCAGTCCCAGCTTGTGACCTACCCTAGTCCCCAGTCCCAGCTTGTGACCTACCCTAGTTCCCAGTCCCAGATTGTGACCTACCTAGTCCCCAGTCCCACCTTGTGACCTACCCTAGTCCCCAGTCCCAGCTGACGACATGTCATAGTCCCCAGTCCAGCTGATAACATACCACAGTCCCCAGGCCGACAGCTGGTCGTCATTTGACGCTGGCGCGCTTCTGCAGGAAGCAGCCGCGCACCGACTACACGTACGCGCGCAGCCTGAGCTACACCACCATCTGTCCGGAGCGGGTCGGACCGCCCAGCATGTCGCGACTCGGCGTGCACAGCCCGCCCCTCGGCCTTCGCAGCCCGCCGCTCGGCCTGTGCGGCCCGCCGCCCGGCCTGAGCAGTCTGCCGCCCGGCCTGAGCAGCCTTGCGCCCGGTCTGGCGGTCGGCGGACAGCCGTGGACCGGCGCGGACCTCGGACTGTACTCGGGACAGACGGCGGGCGGTGAGCGGCAGCCGGCGCTTTGACTCCGGCTCCGGCTCTGATTTTAGTTTGCGGTTCGGTCCGCTGCAGGGTCCCGGTCCCAGCCGTAGCCCCGGTACCGGTCACTGACACGGTCTCTGTCCCCGTCCATGTCTGGGTCTCGGATTCAGTGCCTCTCACTGTCGTGGTCCCCGTACCGGTTCTATTGCCGATGCCTATCCATTTCCCGGTCCCATCTTAGCTTCAGTCCTGCTCGGTGTGTCCGCCGTCTCCGTTCCTGTGTCCCTGGTCCTGGGCCCGGCGCCAGTCCCGGTCGTGTCTCAGGTCTGTGCCTGTTCTGGGCCGGACGGGCGGGCAGCAGGGCCCCATGCTATGCATGGTGGCATGCCGTGCGTAGGTGGTCCGGCAGAGTTCGCTAATCGGCAGAAGGCGTGTGTGACTTGGCCGAATTGGTGATGTGGGGATGCAGTGTGGCATTGTGTCTCGTCCGTAAATGAGCGTTATGAATGCGGGCGCCACAGCTCGCCCCAGTTATCTGATCCCGTGGCACGTTACTTTAATGTTGTTGTGTTGGACTAGAACGAAATTTGTAACCGTTTCAGGCGCACCGAGCGGAAATTATTCGGGCTTGGACATGGAATCTGAAGACGAGTGTTTTCCTCCTGACGCAGGCCACAACACCTCACCCAGCTGTAGCAGCGCATCACACTTCGACAAGACGGGTAAGACCACGCGCCACATGCCCTGTCAAATCTGCCTCCCAACGCAACTTGATCGATTGTGGGCGCGAGGCAGACACTGTTCGGTGGAGTGGGCGGCGCTGTCGGCGTGTGGCGACCGCGTGCCGGGTCGGTTTGGTTGTTTGGATTAGAGCCCTTTCCTCTAGAAATTATCATTTCAGAGCTATGGCAGGAAAGAAAATGGTTAACGGTGGGGCAGGCTTGCATGCGCCTGAGGGGCAAACCACCGAGCTTTAACCCGCGCATGTGCGCTGGGTAGCCGATCGGGCTCTCGGCCCACCCGTGGCTGACACATGCAGCCTGCCCCGGACAAGCGGGATGTCGTGAGGAGGATGAAGCAAGATAAAGGGTAAGAGGGTCGGATGTGTCGGGCCTGCGCGGCGGCCGCGTAGCCGCACGTTGGAAGACGGCTCCGGCGGTGGGCCGGCGCGCTCGGGCCGTGTGTCGGCCGGACGGACGGCGAGTCGGTGTCATCTCGGGAGTCCGTAAGCCCGTGCCGTCGTGTGTCGCCAGGTCTCCGGGCGCCGCGGTCCGTGCTGGCGCTGCTCGGTCTGCTGCCGGCTGTGGTCGTCCGCGCCGCCAACCCCATCTCATGGGCGCGCTTGACAGTGAAGCTTCTGAGCCTACCACGTGACGCCGCTGCTGTCGCCGGCTGGCCCGCCCGTTGGCTGCTGCGGCGGACTAGCCCGGTGGATGGCTCGAGGCCGGCGCCACACCAGCAGGCCGGCAGCGCCTCGGGTGCCGCCGCTTGGGACGCTGCAGGGAAGGCAGAGGCTGGTCGGGCGGAGAGGAGATGTCCCACCTTCCCGGTGCTAGCCATGCTCCTGCTTCTGCTGATTCCGCTGCTGCTGCTGCCGCTGACGTGTGAGTTCCCTGCTGGGGCCGGCCTTTCTGTTGGTGGGCCGACACGGAGCGATGGCATCGGTGCAGCGTGGGACACAAATGGGCGGTTAGCTGGCAGGCTTTGCGGGAAAAATGGCCCCGGTGAGTTTCGTGCAGCTCGAGAACAGACGCGTCAACAGTCACCGGGCAGCGCCATGCCTCAGGGTCACGAGCTAGCTTCGGCAACACCAGGCAGGTCTAACCCACTTAATCACGGCATCGATGGCCGTGTAGGTCCGCCGTGTGAACTTTGAAGTTGAACTTGGTGAACTCGGCGGTTGTGCATGTATCACGGCGTTTCGATCAGAGTATGGTAGTACGGCAGGCTGGCGTGCGTGACGTCATGAGCGGCTCAGTCAGCTGTACACATCCGCTGATCGGGACACGGCCGGTCTTGGTAACGGCGGAGGCGAGCATCCCGTGGCCATCCTGCCGGCCACCAGCCTGAGAGATCGCCGTGGCGGTGGTCGCCGCATCTGCGCGTGTGACGGTGCGTGGCTGTGGGCTGGGTCTTTGGGCGTGGTCCGAAGCCGGTCCGCCGGCGTGGCCGGTGCGATGGTCTCCTCCCCTTCCTCTCCGTATATCTACTACTTCCGCACCTTCCTCGCCTTTCTCCTCCTTTCTACCCCTCTTCCTCTCTCCTGTCTCTTCTCATCCATCTCCGTCTTCTCCTTCTAACCCTCTCCTCCCTCTCCCTCTCTCCTCCCTCTTCCTTTTTCACCCCTCTCTCATTGCTCCCTTTCTCCCTCCACTCCATCCTCCCTCTTCCTCTCTCTTGCCTCTGCTACTTCCTCCCCTCCCTCCCCCTCCTCTCCCTCTGCGCGGCTAACGGAGTCCGCCTGTCTTCCCAGGGCGGAGGACGCCGTCCTCGGAGGACTGGCGGCCGCTGCGCGAGCTGGGGTCGGTCGGCCGGCAGCTGGCGCCGGCTCTCGGCTCGCTGTACGTCTCGGCCGTGTCGGCGGCTCAGGTGCACACCTTCCCGCGGCCGGAGTGCCGCACCAGCGGGTCTGGCGACTCCCTGCTAGCATTTAAGCGGCGATCTGGCGCGGCGCTTGCCGACCTGGTCGATGTGGTTATCGGTTGAGTTCTGTGCTGACATCAGTGTGGTAATGGTATGCGTTTGTCTGTATGTGATGGGCTTGAGCTTCTTATTGCGGTTTGGTGGTCTCTGGCGTGCGTTCGAGAGCGTTCATCACAGCGCGCCTTGGAATGCGATCCCTGTGACGTGGCCGTGGCAGGAACTGTGGGCCAGGCTGTGCTTAGTGGCTGGCCGTCACACACGACCCAGTGGTCCCTCTTCGGCCCACGGTCCCGTGACGTGACTCCGCCCGGCAGCTGTGGTGGGCGTCGCTGGCCGCCCCGCCGCCTCTGACGGAGCCGGCGGCCACCGGCGCGGCGTCGGCATCGGCGGGTGCGCTGACGGAGGCGCTGCGGCAGCTGGCGGAGCTGCGCGGCCGACTGGACGCTCTCAGCGCGGCGGGCCAGGTAACGGAGAGCGTCTGCGGCGCAGGACTGCCACCTGGCGAGGCAGCCGTCGTGGTCAGCGCAGGTGGCAGGACGGACGCTTGCGCGCAGCCGGTCGACTTCCGTCACTCCTCGCCCTTCGGATGGTCTGGTGTGGTTAGGCTGTCTACGTCACTAGCGCTGCGTGAGCTCTGGGCAAGGTTTCAGACACCTACTTCAGCGCTCGTTGGCTCTGGTTTTTCGTTCTTCCCTTCTCGTCTGTCGTCCTAGTCTGTATCTGTGCGTGCTGTGCCGTGCCGACTGTGTGACCGCTTCGCCGACAGGGGCGCGTGTCCACCCGCCGTCACAGCTGGCCCTCCTCTCCCCAGCGCTGCGGCGCGACTGCGGCGCCGCCGCCGCCCGGTCGGCCGCTGGGCTTGGCAGCGGAGCTGGCGGCGGCCGAGCGGCGCCAGGCCGAGCGTCTGGCGCTGCTGGACGCCCGGCTGACGGCACAGCTGGCCGCCCTGCGGACCGTGCTGTTGGAGCCGCCGTCGGAGCCGCCGGAGCCGCCGCCACCCTCGGAGGACCAGCTGGAAGCTGTACGGCGTGTGACGGTGACCGTCGACCGACTGCGCCGCGAGGGCGAGGCGGCCGCCGGCCGGCTGGACGCGCTGACGGCGCTGCTGGACACGCTGCGGCGCGACGTCCGGCACCTGCGCGGTGCTCTCCTCGCCGTGCAGGTGTGTCATGGTGCCGACGTTGTGCCGACACGGTGACGTCATGGCGCTCCCTGCTGGCCTCGTGAACATCGAACTCTGGGCTACTGTAACAGAGATAAGGTGTTGCAGTGGTACTTCGAATGTTTCATGTGCAGGCACACTGGATGTTCCAGTTGCATCACGTGCCATGCCCCGCGCGTCTGGTGTACCGTGCCACTGCTGATCTGTTCGGACTGTTGACCTGTGCTGACTGTTGGCGCACTTTCGCCAGGAGGGCGTGGGCTCGTCACGCGCCTGCTGCAACCGGACGGCGTCGGACTGCGACGGCCAGCTGGCCGGCCGGTTACGTGGTCTGCATCGCCGGCTCGACCAGCGGCTGCAGCTGCACGCCGCCGGGCTGAGGCACAGTACGTCCCGGTCTGAGCCGGCGGCTCCCATGGCGGCGGATAGACGGTCATCGTGGCTCTCGGTCCCCCTCGCCGCTATCCCAGGCTATTCCTTGTATGCGGAATGCGGCAATCAAGGGGCCTTCTTCGTTTGTCATTTTTTTTCACGCGATGTGCTAATGCTCAGCCAAATGCTGGCTTTCTTAGCTCGAAATTTTACGTGTAAATTCTGATCTCGCTGATTAGCGAGGTTCCGGTGGCTCTGGCGCCCGCGCTTAAGCCGCGGCTGATCTCTGGCGGCAGACCTGTCGTGCGGGGCGGCGGCTCTGGCGGGCGGCGTCAGCCGGCAGCAAGCGGTCAGCATCGCACAGCAGCAGCTGGCGCTGTACGACGCCGACAAGACGGGACAGTTCGACTTCGCGCTAGAGTCGGCAGGTGGCAGCATCGTCAGCACCAAGTGCACCGAGGCGTACGGCGCGCGGGCGGCGCAGCTGACGGTGCTGGGCGTCCCGGTTTGGTACCCGCAGAACAACCCGCGCTCCGTCATACAGGTGAGCCGGGGGCGTCGTGGACCCATGACCTGGGGGTGGAGGTATGCCCGGGGGCGGGGAGGTCCGTGTCCGCCCCGACTTCCCCGCGGCTGGACAAGCGTCAAGCGTATGCTTGAGAATTTCGCCATTACCTTCAAGTGTTGGTCTGGACCGACTCTGCTGTTCTTCGTTCCATTAAGCCCCGATTTGGGACATGTCGAGGGTCTCGTCTTATCGGACGTCACGTGCTTCGGTTGTTGAGTGGTACCTGTGGGTGTGCAGACGCTGGTGTTGGCATGGGCTGTCGCGTGTGTGACCGACGGTCGCTCCGCCCTCCTGACCGGTGGCCGGGCAGTGGGACGCTCTGGGCACGCGTGTGGCCCGCGTTCGCTCGCTTCCGCAGGCGGGCGGCCGGCCGGGCGAGTGCTTCGCCTTCCACGGCGAGGGCTTGCTTGAGATCGGCCTGTCGCGTCTGGTGCGGCCCACCGAGTTTGTGCTGGAGCACGTGGCGCGCGAGCTGACGCCCGACGGCAGCGTGCGCTCCGCGCCGCGTCGCTTCGCCGTGCTGGTGAGAGCGGAGAAGGCGAGCCGGGTGGGTGGGGTGATGGCGGGACGTGCGAGTGCCGCTGGCAGGGGCGCTCGAGGCACGTTCTGTCCCCTCGCGTACGCTCTGAAATGTGAATCGTGCTAGAGGAACGGCATCTCACTCAAAAAATTGCCTGTGCGTTTGGATAGACGTGTGAATGAAAAGATCCGCCACCCTGTCGGTCGGCCCTGACTGTTCTGTCCGTCGCCTTACTTAAAACACGTACGCCAGGAGTGATGTACATTGTGGTGTCCGCCGCCAGGGGGTGACTGGATTCGCGGGGGAGGCCGTGCCGCTCGGTGAATTCCAGTACGAGGAGCGGGGCCCGCCGCTGCAGCGTTTCGCCGCGGCGCCCGCCGGCCGCGCCTTCCGCGCCGTTCAGTTGCGCGTCACCTCCAACTGGGGACACCCGCACTACACCTGCCTCTACCGCTTCCGGGTCCACGGACGGCCCGAGCCCGAGCCGCAGCCGTGGTCGGGTGGAGGCGGACGGTAGCCGAAGCCGCAGTTGCAGCCGGAGCCGGTGCCTGAGCCGGAGCCGGAGCCGGAGCTGGAGCCGGAGGACGGTAGCGGTGGCCGGAGCTGGAGCCCGAGCCCGAGCCCGAGCCCGAGCCCGAGCCCGAGCCGGAACCCAGCCGGGGCCGAGCGGAGGTGGACGGTAGCCGGAACCCGAGCCCGAGCCCGAGCCCGAGCGCGAGCCGGAACCCAGCCGGGACCGCGTGGAGACGGACGGTAGCCGGAACCGGAGCCTGAGCTGGAGCCGGAGCCGGAGCCGGAGCCGGAGCCGGAGCCGGAGCCAAAGTCGGAGCCGGAGCCGGAGCCGGAGTTGGAGCCGGAGGACGGTAGCAGTAGCCGGAGCTGGAGCCCGAGCCCGAGCCCGAGCCCGAGCCCGAGCCGGAACCCAGCCGGGGCCGGGCGGAGGTGGACGGTAGCCGGAGCCCGAGTCCGAGCCCGAGCCGAAATCCAGCCGGGACCGCGTGGAGACGGACGGTAGCCGGAGCCGGAGCCGGAGCCGAAGCCAAAGCCGGAGCCGAAGCCGAAGCCGAAGCTGGAGCCCGAGCCGAAACTCAGCCGGGACCGAGCGGAGGCCGATGGTAGGAGAGGCCGGAGCCGGAACCTGGCCGGGACCGGAGCCGGAGCCCAGCGGGGATGGATGGCAGCTGGAGCGAGAGCTGGGGAAGGGCTGAAGGTGGCGGGGACGGTTGGCGGCAACCGAAAACCGTTGGAGGTTCAGGTGGACGTTTTCAGCCGGCGGGCGGCACAGCACAATGCAGTTGATCCGGCGCCGTGTCTGTGTGCCGTCGCTGTTGACATATCCTGTGTACGTGAGATTCATACCCACTGTGGGTTGGAGCAGGGAAGCATGGCCCGCTTCCGTACTGCTGCTGTATATTCCTGGTGTCAGAACGTGCAGATGTGCCAGTAGCGCCGATGGACCATGCAAAGCTTCCTTGCACCAGGCTCCCGTCAGCGCGCTCGTCTTGTCAGGTGTCGACCTAGTCCCGTTTCTGTTGTTTGTGTTTTCGCTGCACTGGTTGGTGTTTAGTGGAGCGGTCTCCCGTTACCTACATGCTTTAACCGCTGCGTATGTGTGTGTTTATGTGTTTGTATCAGATACTGAGGCTTCTGCTGGTCTGTACTTGACCTGCCGGGGCAGATCTGCATACCACGTGCCTATCGTCACCGAATGCTGCCAAAGGTCGTGTATGTGTATGGTGGTCACATTTCCCAGAGCTTTTCATGGAATACCAGGCGTACAAAGTGTGGAATGTCTATTTTTGCGTGCTTGGAACGAGATGGTCACAACCAATGTATTGTGGCAACCTCGGGGCAACAATTATTCAGTCGTGTCGCCGCAACGTTTTTCTCCATTTCTTGGACGGCGGCGCGCTCGCCGTTGGTATGCTTACCAACATAAACCTCCCAATAAAGTGGTGCCCTCTGGCGTCTGAGTGATGATCTGATCCTTGGCCGGTGGCCGTCAACATGCGCTTCTATTCGTCATGGGATCAGATGCACCCCCGAGGCTGGCGAATTCGACGGTGGCAGACGACGCGACGGCTCCAGCCTGACGGCGGTCACAGGCGTGTTGATCCTGTCTCTGCTGTTGTGGGTCTAATGTTACATCTTCCGCACTTGTTTGGGACCGGCTGCCCAGGCCACCAGCTCGCGCACGCGCGCTCGAGATTGTAGACGGCTTGGTTTATCACCGGGGGACCGCGAGTTTGAGTGCAACATGCCGCGTTTCGTCTTACTCTCATGCCGCAGACGGAGTGATTGGTATGCACACTGGACACGCGGAATTGATGCCCAATATATTTGGTATACACGGTTCTTAGCCGCCACGAAATCCCACCGTCCGCTTAAACGACTAAATCAATGCTAATACGACTAAGCCTAGAGAATCCATCTTGCGTTGACATTTAACGGTTGAGTTAGCGGGGCTTCCGTAGCTGTAGAGTCTAATTGAATGTCCGGCTCAAGGGGGAAAACATCGTCAAAATTCGATTAGTATCACGACGTTGGGTTAACTATAACGCAGTCAAATACGCCCAAGTGCGCACCAAACACTGATCACCCATTGACACTGTATATGGTCATTATCAACGCACGGGATATTCTGAAACATGTATAGAGAGGAAGTGCTAAAAGTTTATATTTTTTGTTAAGATTCGCAGTCACAAAACATGCAAACATTGTTTATTTGGAAGAGGGCCTGTGGCGTGGAACATTAATTGTGAAGAAATATTTTGGCAAATACAAAATTTCAAAAGATTTCTCGCGCCTTTTCAGTTTTCATCTATTGATGCGAATAATGAAAAACTTCTAACACTGTAAACACGAAATGAGGCACACTAACGCAGCTATAATGCTAATTTTCGGAAGCTGAGTGACACGATGACGCGGTTCACGTGACTAGAGCAAGCCGCCGCCGAGTGCTGAGTCACTCAGCGGGCGGGTCCTATGCATTGGCAACACCTGAGAGTCGCGTGGGAGCATCAGTCAGTCTGCACATCCGTGTGGGGCAAAACTAAGAGCGATGCCACCAGACCGCGGTGGCGCGGCAGACCACGCTGGTGTGGTGGACCACGCTGGTGCGGCGGGCCACGCTGGTGCGGCAGACCGCGCTGATCCAGCAAACCGCGCTGATACGGCGGACCACGCTGGTGCAGCAGACCATGCTGGTATGGCGGACCACGTTGGTGTGGTTCGGTGGCGCAGCCGAGATTCAATGCTGATCAAAACGGGCATGCCGTGTCGACATAACCTCGCGCATTCCCTCGGGACAGACACGGTTGCCACGGATCTAATCTTATCACGCCAGAGCGAGTCATGGGCGACGTGGGACTGGAAACTCGGCAGCTGTGGTTGTCATCAGACGCTTCGTGTTAAGAGGAGCGGGTGCAGGCCGTTTTCGTGTGGAGGCGGACCTCGCCGTCCCCACCGGATGTCTCTGCCGACGGCCGCCAGGTGCGCGCATGTCGCCCCGGCTGGAACACACGCGCTAAAAAACGGGCGCCCGGCCTGCTGGCCGCCGGCGACCGCAGCTGACGTCACGTCCGAGTGATGTTTATCGCTCGTGACGTCACCGTTTGGAGACGCAGCTTCCTGTGACGTCACGTCTCGTCACCTGCCGCCGCAAGTGGCGGATCTTGGAACTGCATGTGCCACTTCATCTAGGGGACCGCGTGGGTTTTGTTCAGGTAGTGCAGAACGTAGTGCAGGACCAGGTCGTAGCAATACTTGTACTCCATCTTGAAAAAGAGAACGCATCTGTGAGTGTCGCTGGGGCCATTCCCAAGAGACTGATCACCACTGCACGCTGCCCTATCATTCTCCTCATGACTAAGAGTATTGTCAAAGCTGACTCCCAGAGAAATGTTCGCTTCGTTTCAAGACTGCTCGCTGGTGTTTGTGGGCTATACAAGATAACGCTGTTAGCAAAGCTTTATACAGTCGTGCAAAACGTATACTGATTTGAGCTAGCGTCGTGATTATTGCTCGCACTGAAACAAACCATATCACTGTGCATAGGCACTTGAGTATGGTCTTGGATGAACGCTTTTTTCCTCGTGTTGTAAATATCGAATATCCATTACATCCGTCCTCGATGGTGGCAGCCTTCATGAGTGACGGCAGGTAACGTTCAGCACGTCCATAGCTACCACTGTTTCGTGAGACGCCGCGGGTGGCGGGCGAGCCGGCGGCGTCGCCGGCCGCTCACCATGTTGGAGATGAGCTGCGGGCGGTGCTGGCGGACGGTCTTCACCGCCTGGAACACGTCCACCTCGCTGTGCTGGACCACCTGCTCGATGCAGGCGTTTGCCGCGCAGTACACGCCCGCCCGGCACTGCCCGTCGCTGCCAGGACAACAGAACACGGCGGCTGCCGTCAGAAACGGCTGGGCAGGGGCCACAAATGGAAACAGAGCAAACACAGCTGGGCTATGGGAACAGAGCAACACAGCCGCGCTGTGGGAACAGAGCAACACAGCCGGACCAAGGGCGCGGAGCTTGACGGTGACCGTCCCTGGGAACAGAGCCGAATAGTAGCTGTGCCTGGAAACAGAGCCGAATGGTGTTTGTTCCTGGAAACAGAACACCACGGCGCCATGGCCACTGGAAGCCGAGCGGAGCAGGTGAGGTCACTGGCAACAGCGCGCAGCAGCGCCAGCAACTGGAAACGGTCTCGTACACTTCGCCTGAAGCCGACCGGAAAATGGGCGCCGCTGGAAATAGCCTCTGTGACCGTGAATGTTGCCGAAGGCAGCGCCCAACAATATCTGACATTTGAAAGTTACCTTAGATATGCAACAGAGTTCCTGAATCTTAACGGAAGAGCTGCGGAACAAAGATAGCGACTTAATTTAATCTGCTTTGCGCAGTTTAGTGCCGTGGGGGCAAGCGTGAGAGTTTCGAACTGTGGGATTTCCCGAGCTGTGCAGCTCGGTCACGTGCAAAACGGCTCTGATTTCCGACCGAAGGGCCACTCGCCCGCAAACTGACCGCGATACAGACTCATCCAGAGCAAGTCCAAAGCCTTCCCGAGTTCCAAAAAAGTTCATGGATCAGCCGGCGGCTGGACCCCTGGTTTACCATGTGCAAACGCGATCAGCTGATCACGGGTAGGCAGTTAGAAAAAAACAGGCCCACGCAGAACTGAGGTAAGCAAAACCGCTGTACTCACGGCGAGACGACAACGACGGGCCCGTAGCCGGAGCGTTGTCGCCACCTCTCCACCATGTTCATCAGCTCGACGAGCGCGTTGGTGGATGTGGGTACCTTGTATCCGTCCGGCCAGCAGGTCAGCTGGAACAGCTGGCACGTCTTCGATTCGGCTTTGACGCCAGCCATCAGGTCCGTCAGCGAGACGATCTGTTGACAGTTCTTCCGTCACGGGTCTGTACAAGACATCATGCCGGTCATCTTGTCCGCCACGTGTGTGTTCAGACATCATCATTCATCGCACAGACATCACGGTGTCTGCGAGCGGCGATCTGTCAACATGGCGTCCGGCAGTGAGAGGATTTTTGCCATCATGTCCTTTAGGTAGTTGGTTTGTTGACACCAAGACCGATTTTTTTGACATCAAGACTACTATGCAGACGATGCGTCTTCACTATGACTGTCAGGGGTGTAGTTGATTCGCATGACTGTCTACATGAGAATCAGTCGACATCGGTTTGGCAGAGAAGCGACCTGTTAGCATTCTGCCCCAAAATGATCACTGTCATCAGCGGTGCGATCTGTCAACATTACGTGTACTGCAAGAGACAATATGTCGGTATTATCCTGCCAAAGAGCTAATCCGTTGACATTAGTCCTACCCAGCGGAAGATCTTCTGGCATGAATGCCAACGGAGGTGATATATGCCAACACCGGCTTCGATGGATAAACGACCTGTCGATGTCAAGTTATCAGAGAGCCGTCTGTTGACATCTTGTTCGTCAGCGAGACAACTTGGCAGCAGACCCATCAGAAGGACGATCGTTGACAACGTGTCCGTCACACAGGTGATCTTTGACGCCGTTTCCGTCAGACAGACCATTTGTTTAAAGCATATCCCGCACAACCGCCTAGCGACTCAGCTATGTTAAGCATGAGGTTAGGAAGACAAAACCTAATAAAACTCATGCGCTGCGATGCCCAAAACCCGTCTATCTTTTTTTGGGGGGGAAGCGTTTTGCTCGCAACCCAACAGCCGAGCCCGAGCGGGGATTTGTGTGACCACACTGGCGTGAAAAGATCAAATGGAAGCTAGCCAAGGAGGCGCGGGGTGGCGCCTAAACCACCCACCAGGGTGGGTGGTTTAGGGTTGGCACAACAAGCTCTGCTTAGATAATGCTTCGAATACAAAGCTACCCGAGCAAGCTATTCGAGAACAAGGTCTCCAAATTGTTAACGAAATACCCGAGTCCTTTCCTCTAACAACCTAGTCAGTCATGCACCTGCCTCGGCGATCACCGACCTTTTTGTTGATACGGAAGATCCAGGACTTGATATTCTGATAATGCTGGTGCGAAAGGTGCTCCACAGTGAAGACGGTGCCGTACTTTCTGGAGCGCGTGCTCTCTGGCCAGAACGGCGGGAAGCTCTACCGGCACACCGACAGACTCAGTCCGTGGTCTCCCTGTGCAGCCAGTAGACGTACGAACAGGAGTGGCACACCATGTCTATCAAAGAGGGCATGGTGCGTCCAATTTCGTGGACGTTTGGCATAAGCATTACTAAGACGACTAAAATGTGGAGTCAATAATTCAAATTTGGGTCCTACCCAGTTATTTCATGGGGCATCCATGCTTCGGGGAACGGACGGTATAAGCGAAATGGGACAGTACGAGGAGAACGCATGCCTTCTTGGCGGAATGTGCCGCCGGCCATGGAGACAAACAGCTAACTGAGGAGAACACCCCCAGACTGCGGGGCCAGCCGACAAACCGAGACGCACAGAGGGTGCGTCGATCTCACAGGCTGCAGCAATGGCCACGAATAGGCTACTGCCCCGGACAACTCCGGACTTCAGCGTCAAGGGTTGAAAACACAGTCGACCCGTGACACACAACTGAGATGACTTAGTGATGCTGGGCGAGACGAAGCTTTCCTATTTGGTTCTCCAAAACGAGTATAATTTTGGGGCCCCAAAATGTGATTTCAACACAGAATTACGAACATCTAAAATTTTGACACATGCGTTGCATTGACAAACTAGACATAATAGCGGCGCCATCGTGTGGTGCCCGACTCCTATTGGGTCAGGTTCGAGGTCCAGACCGGGTGGCATCATTTCAGCGTAAACAGAAAACTCAGTGTAAAAAACAGGCAAAGTGAATCAGAATCCGTATTGGAAGAGTAGGAGGTATGCAGTAACCTTCCACGCATTGTAATCGAAAACGGTTAATCAGTGGTTCCAACCTCTTCAACCCGACCCGATTTGAACTGATCCGACCAAAGAGGTCGAGATATACGCATAGCAAATCCTGGTGTCTTTTCTTCTCTTGGACCATGTTCTTTCATCTATCTATCTTTTCCTGTTAGGGGATGGGAAAGGGACAAACGCGATTTTCACCTCGCTCCTTGTCATGCAGTGGCATGAGGTTAAGATTAATGTTGCTACAGGTGAGGCGGCTCTTCTCTTTTGCTCCTCCGTTTCCACTGTCTGGCCTGCCTAACAAGCTACTCGAAGCATAGCTTGCTAGTAATTATATGCTATGGGCTTTACGAGACGCATACACTGTTTGAGCTGCATATGGGCTTTTTAGGTATAGAAAACCGAGCTTCGACACTACGGGTTGGACAAAAAGTTTTGCAAGTGAGTTACGGTGGTTGTAATGAGAACGCCGTTCTATACAGTGATCACACGGACAATCACTAGCTAATCACAGCACCCTGGACAACAGCCTTCCCAAGGCCTGCTTTTGGACGCGGCAGCATCACGTCCTCGATGGGCGCCTGAGTCGTACACTGCGTCTTCAGGTTAGTGCCCGCCGCCGTATCGGCCGGCTGACGGTTAACGGGGTGAGGGTGGGGGTCACTCGGGGAGGGGGGGGCGGCAGGCTGGGGCACGGTAGACGCCACTGACCGGCGAGGCGTCTGGGTTACAGAGCACCACCACGGCCGTGCAGTCGTGGTCGTACACGAGCGACCAGAGGTCAGCCACTGAGCCCGGCGTCACCCATTCGGTCACGATGTACTCGCGCGGGTGCGAGTAGCCCTGAAACAGCCGGGCCGTCACAGCCGTCACAGCCGGGCCGCTGTGGCCGGGCTTACCGCCGCGTCGTCGGGGCTGGTCAGCACCACCACAGAGTTGCAGCTGTGGTCGTAGGCAAGACTCCAGAAGTCTGCCGGCGTGCCGCGCAGGGGCCACTCGGTCACTATGTACTCCTTGGAGCGGTTGTAGCCCTGCAAGCCGGCTGTCTGGTGAGTACGCGCTGCTGACACGGCCCGGCCGCCGCTGGGCGGTGCCTCATGCCCCGGACAAGGTCAGGCTGGGTCACACCAGTCCACGCGACACGCGACATGGGGTGACGAAGGGGAGCGAAGAACTAATCAAAGGACGCTGCGAGTCACTGAAGCAGCGCTGGCCGGCACACACAAACAAACAACCGCTACGAAATATACACAGTTATGGGAGGAGCTTTCCGTGTCCTTGGGTAATCAGTCGATCCAGGAGAAACGTGATAAATCAGAGGATGTGGTTCTGAATGTTAACATGGGGCTTTCAAGCCTTATGAGGTAAGAAATGACCAAAAATGCGTAAAGCTTTGCTGTGTCCCTCTCCGAGTGATCCCCAGAAAGTTCCGCCCCTGCGGATGACAGAGGCGGAACTTTCAAGGATCACAAGCCCCGAAGGTATCGGGATCCTAGACACACTTCCAAGACGAGTCACATGCTCGAGAATCCAGAAATGGTCAGGTGGTGACCAGGACGCTTCAGGACTTCGAGACGGACAGGGGCATCGGAGACGCAAAAATCGTCTATGGTGAAAAACAGTTATACGGGAGGAATAGAACCTACGCATGGAGCGATCTGGCACTCCGCTGGCAGGTCTTCTTACCTATTATTACTGCTTTAAAGTAAATATGATATAGCATTTGCACACGATCAACTAAATCATTGAGCTAAGCAGTCAAGCCGGTTCAACCCAAACACCGTTCATCACACATGACACTAGCATGCTCAACTAATAGGTGATAGTCTTATCAAGGGCATGTATATGCTGCAGCGATGTTAAAAGAAGCGAGTGAACGGACGGCATTTCGCCCATCCCCTCCACCGCGTTTGTTGCTTTGAGAACGAATTTCACGCATCTGAGGGCGCACCCTCAAAACCAATTTGTAACAAGCCCAATCCGCGGATAATGACGCCAAAACGTTTCCCCACCCACCACAGCTGTCGGCGCCACTCATGGCCGAGGGCGCAGCTGTCTGTCGCTGGGACACGACCTGGCCGAGCCCTGAGTGGCTACAGTCGGCCGTCACCGCCCGCTCAGGGCGGGCGTCTGGCGCCACCAGGCGCGCGTAATGCGCCGGCCTCCCATTACCGTGGTCTGGCGGCCTGGCCACCGACAGGGAGTGGTCCCAGGAGATCACTGGCCTGCCACCGACGGAGGCTGGTGTTCGAGGAGACCACTGGCCCACCATCGCCAGGATGTGGTCCCAGAGGACCACCGGCCCACCACCGAGAGGGGCTGGTCCTAGGGGACCACTCGCCAGCCACCAATAGGGGTGGTCCCAGGGGACCACTGGCCCGCCTCAGACACGGGCCGAGTCCCAAATGACTGCTGGTCTGCCTCGGGCCGAAGCGGATCCCAGCGGACTATTGGGTGACTCGGAGTGGGTCCGCCACCTTCGCTCTCTTATTTCCACCGTGCTTCATGAACATTGGTTTGTAACTTATAAGTCGGTCCTGAATTTTGATGGATGGATCTATCAACATTTGGCCTCATGCTCACTGTATATAATCTTCATGCCCATAATGTCTGCCTCTGTTCGTGAAGCCTACCTTATTAATCTTGATCCTTATGAATGCTGAATGTTGTGGGCTTCACCTCTTATGAATATATTTGAGTGCAAGAGGACAGACATCGACGTTTTGCAGATTGGGCGTCGTGAAAACGGAAACTAGTGAACACTGGACCAAACTTATAAACATTGTACTTTACAAACAATGTACCTCTTGGGCGTTGGATCTTGTGACCAAAAACAAAGGCTCTTATGATCATTGCATCGTATGAGCATTACACCTTTCGGCACGCTCCAGAGTCGCTCCCTAGTTTTCTGTTGCACACACCGCGCCGGCCTCTGAGACGGCCTGTCTACTCACGTCCACGAACACGGCGTTAATGTAGTCGGTGGCGGCGTTCCCCTGGAACGACACCAGGTAGGGCCGGAAGTTGTCGGCTGAAGACAGAGCCGCCCTGTCAGACGGCGCGTCCAAAGCCTGAGCCGGCTCGTCGCGCAATAGTTTTACTCGGCGTCCGTCCAGCAATCAGAATAGTCGGGATAAAAATAAGTCGTCCGATGGTGATGTCATATACACTGACGTTTCGTAAATATTAGGGTTCTCAGGGGATGTTGGATGAGGATGTTGTTGGATGTTGTGTCTCATTAAACGCAGGTGCGTACGATCCGCTTTAGCATTTCATTGGGGCACAGGTGTTATAATCATGGCTTAATGCGTGATGCGTATGTAATGGTCACCATGCTTTCCTCTATCGTGCCTTAGAATATTCAGCGATCCATTCCATCGTGCAAGACTCCCGTGGTATGACAATGTCATATGTGTGTTGCGTGTCACGATTATGACGCTAGAGTCGAATCACGAAACACGACCATGACGTCACAGCCGACTCACGCAACACGGCCGTGTCACATTTGGTTCTTGCGGCACGATAAGCGGGGTTCACTGATGTCACACTCGACTTCGCGGCACAATCATGCCATCACATTCGAGACACGCGTCACGATCATACCATCACACCTGACTCACGCGGCATATTCATACCGTCAGACCCAACTCACGCGGCACGATCATGACGTCGCGGTTCTTGTGTCGGTTGTCGGCGCGATGGCCGCCGGCGCAGTCGCCGATGCTGAACTTGGGCACCTGCCGGCAGATGCGGCCGAACTCGCGCTGGTAGTCGTTGAGCCTGTCGCCGCCGGGCGGTCGCACGGCCTTCTCGCGCAGCCGCTGCGACAGCTCCGACACCGGGAACGACGAGTAGCCGCAGTTGACGTACTCCTCCAGCGTGTCGTACACGAACTTGTACTGGTCCTGCGGACGAAGCCGGGCTCAGTGGTGTGGCTCAGACTCGACGGCACCGCCGCGGAGCCAGTCGCGGTGCCTGTGGTGGTTATGTGAAATGCGGGGTTGGAGAGCTCGAGAGAGGTTGCAAGAGCTCGTGCATGCCACTGTCATGTTTAGGCTGCTGGCAGTACATCATTGTGCGGTGGTGTTCGTTATAAGAAGGATCGGGCATGCTATTGATTTGTACATTTTTTATTTCCTTTTTAATATGCAAGTTTGCTTAGAGGCACCAATTCGCCGCTGTGTTGCGACACGGCTGAGAGCGCCTTACTTTGACACGGCTGAGAGCGCCTTTATTTGACATGGCTGAGGGCGCCTGACTTTGACACGGCTGAGAGCTAGGAGCTAGGAGCTTCTTTGACAAGGCTAGGAGCGCTTTACATTAACATGGCTGAGAGTGCTTTACTTTGACACGGCCCTGCGTTAAGTCCACTCATAGGCGCGCGAAGCGTGTGTCACATCGCGCACTGTATAATGTGTACGCCATGGCTTTGCTCAGACTTGGACTTTGCTCAGACTAGTTGACCATAACGCGTCGTTACCGATGCGCGCTATCGCACGTGGCTGTATGAAGAAGCCGTCTGGTGCCCAGCCAGCCTATTGGGGGTTAAAAACGGACCGATGCATTCCCTTGGCAGCCGGTATTCAGGAGCATAGTAAGCGTCACGGGGTCAATGACACGAAAGACGCATTTCCATTCCCAGGTTTCATGAGCACAAAGAAGGCAGAAAAATTAAAATGTGTGGTGCTGCCAACAGTCTCTGATCAGCGGGCTAGCTGGCAACACAGCCATCACAAGTATGTACGTGCCTCCATTACATTGCGGGGTGTGGGGTTACACAATCATCCGCTAAACCGCGGTTAAAAATGACCTCGTTGCGTGCACAGACGTTTACGAAGCATTAGCCAGGCCATGGCTGATAAATGACGCCTGTGGCATGTCGCCCTAAACAAAGAGCTTGATGAGTCCATGACTCGAGCGGTGATCAAGTGCGGAATGCGCCGTTTCTATCATCAGTTGGCAGAGACGGCGTTAAGCGTTTGTGGCAGGCAGCCAAATACCGGGAGTGTGCCCCTCGTCGCGTAAATCCGCACGTCAGGACAGGATCCCTGGAGAAGCGCACCACCTTGCACAGAGAACAGCAACTAGCGAACGTCACGCGAGAGCACTTTTAAAATCTAGGTGATCCAACAGGCAAAATATCCTGACTGCTCGAATTCTAAGAAGACTAATTCGCCTCGTCTAGCCTTTCCTTGATTCAGCTGTCCCTTGCCTTCATCAGCTCGCGGGAGCTGTGACAATATTTATAAGTCGACACCGGGCCGCCGGGTCTTCTCGTGGTAGCTTCTGTCAGCTCCCGCGACTTACCACTAGCTCTATGAGTCCGCGCCGGGCCTGCCGGATCTTCTTGAGGTAGCCGTAGACGTCAAACACGCCGTCCTCCTCCGCCAGCTCTATGTTGGCGTCGATGGCCAGGAACACGCCCGACCTTCCGGCCCCGTCGCTGACAAAACAGGCCGATACCGCTGGTCACAAGCGTCCACTCCGGCGTCACCAGAGGAGTCCAACACCCCAGACACACCCGCGGTTTAAAGCGCGGTCGCAGCCAGAGCTCTGGCGAAACCATAGATCTCACATGCATCAACGGATTGGCTGAATGCAGTATCTTCCAGGTATTCCCTGGCGTCGTTTGGCGACGTAAAAACCGGAATGGAAAGGTGAAGTGAGTGCCCATTCAATCGGTGCAAATAACACGCGTCAGATTTAACCTTTCAACCACTTCGACGTTCCTGCGGAAACGTTTCCGAACGACGCCAACGAAAACAGATCAGCTCGTTTTTCCCGGGATTGATTTCTCCTCGAGATTAATGACCGGGCCGGAGAGCGCCGGCCAGCCAGACGGCGCCGATCCACAGCCCGCACCACCGCCGGACGAGCGCGAGCCCGCCGCCCACCGACCTGCAGTGCACGGTGATGGGGCCGTCGAGGCCTGGGGTCCGGTGGCTGAGGCAGATCCGGAACCGGCGCCGGAACTCCAGGATCGCGTTGGAGAAGGGGCACGAGTGGCACGGCCACTCAGTGTAGTGCAGCTGCAGCAGACACCGCTCCTGAAACGGAACTCAGCGTAGTGCAGCTGCGGCAGGCACCGCTCCTGAAACGGAACTCAGCGTAGTGCAGCTGCGGCAGGCACCGCTCCTGAAATGGAACTCAGTGTAGTGCAGCTGCGGCAGGCACCGCTCCTGAAACGGAACTCAGTGTAGTGCAGCTGCGGCAGGCACCGCTCCTGAAACGGAACTCAGTGTAGTGCAGCTGCGGCAGGCACCGCTCCTGAAATGGAACTCAGTGTAGTGCAGCTGCGGCAGGCACCGCTCCTGAAACGGACGTCAGCTGACTCACAGTTCGGACAAACGTGCCAACTTCAGGCTATAGGACAGACCGATGTCAATGTGTAGATTACACTTAGCAGGCATACGTACACACAAGGTCATCAGTATTTGCTTTGCTTTGTAGCACAACAAACTTTGCTTCATGCCAGTCTCGATAAGCTGACCTGCTACTTTGACACGAGACCTGTGCTCTCACGCCGCACAGACAGACCCACCTCATCGTCGCGTCGGAGTCGGATGGTGCGGATGACGAAGTTGGCCAGTTGCTCTTCCTTGAGTACGGTGACGCCGAAGTCGCCGTACATCTCCTCCTTGTCCGTCAGTACCGGCCAGTACTGCACGCACATTACCTGCGGCGGCGGCATGTCCAGGCCACTCAGGCACGGCGGGTCAGAGCTAGCACGCCTTGGGTCAAGCTCAGGTCACGTGAGATCGCATCGTCTCAAGTCAGATGGGACAGATCCCGTCCAGAGCACTGCGGTCATGTTGGGTCTCAGCTCGGGTCACGTCGGCGCAGGCCACGTGGAAGTTTGTTCCAGTGAGGTCAAGTCAGGTCACGCGCACTGACCTTTGAATACATTATACGCTGTTCGGCGTTCAGAACTTTGTCGCCAGCTTGGCGTAATTACGCTTTTGGAAGCGCTCTCGAGCGTTTCGTTTACTACAGACTGCGCGAAGGCCTGACGTGTTCGAAAACTGACGACGCCGCGTCGGAGTGACGTCATGTTCGACACCTCCGGTAATCACCTGCCGTCTGGCAGCGCCGCCGGAATGCAGCTCGCAGGCGCCCGTCGTGACGCATTGGCTCAGCCGGCGCCTGTCTTATGTCATCGGTAATCGGTGCTGTCGGCTATTTGAAGCCCGGAAGTGGGGATAGTGAAAATGAAGGCTCAGAGGGAGGACTGGACAACTGATGAAGGAACAATCACTATCGCTGACTGAAATGTCACTGTTCAGAGTGAGGATTCCCGCTGCTTGATAAGCAAGAAGATAAGTGTATATAGAAACCTACTGTGGCAAGAAAGATAGGGCAAAGAAGCCTACAATACAGCTATCGCTCCCAAGCCTGTAAACAGCGGCTTTTGTTCGCTCTCCCGCTCGCCGTGGCTGCACCATCTGTCTCTCTTTGTCTCCCCTCTGTACTCGGGCCGCCTTCAGCCACGTGCGATGTCGCCGCAGCCTGCGAAGTGGTGACGAGACAAAGCCACACAGGTGTGCGAGCCGAGGCGCGCCGCCGCCTGCGACCGAAACAGGTGGTGTCTCCTGACGACCAGAGCCACCGCTGCCGGGTGTGCGTGGGGAGGGGGGGGGGGGGTGACGGGAGGAGGCGAGGATGGGGTGAGTCACGGAAGAGGAAGGTCATGGCCTGAAACTGAGGCGGGGCCAGTGCGATCGTGCACGGGCAGGGAAGTGGTAGCAAGAAGGTGGGAAAAGTGTTGAGGTCACATGATGAAGTGAAAACGTTGGGCACCCGGGCCTTTCTGGTCCTTCACCCCGCCAGACTTTGCTAGTTCTCGTCGAAAGCGTGCCAAAAACGGAAACCCCAGAGCGCGGAGTTCTCCGGAGGCGGAACTGGACACAGCGGATTTGTAATGGTAAATGGAACTACAGGTCCCCGACAAACCCTGGGTGCGACGGCCTCACTACAGAAGTGACCTGGAGCCTACAGCGCCCCACGCCGCTGGAAGCCTAGCTGGAGCTGTCCGAGAGATTAAGAGAATGATGAACTGGGCGGGCTGCAGGAAGTCGAATTGCAGAAAGTTGTCAAACGGAGCCACGGTCGATCATACCAAGCCGCCGCTGATGTGTACGTCAACCGGCGTCAGCTCAGCGGCAGCAACGCTCACCAATCTCCTCTACCGGCTGGCCGCCCACGCCTGTTGGCCGGCTGCCGCTCTCGAGACAGCACGCAATCACCTGCGCTGCTCCCTGGCGCCACCCATTCAGTGACACCTGCTGCTGAGTGCTGAGCCGACTGCTGTGTCATCACAAACTGCGCACTCAGCGCCGCCCCCACCTACCCCCTCCCCTCCCGGTTTCCCCCGCCAACTGATAGCAGCGTACATCCGACATGCAGATAAGACCATGTCAAACACGCCGCACATATTTGGGCACAGTTGCGTGCAGAAAACTGGCGTGAGCAGGGACGATGCTCCGGAAATGATGACGTCATAGTTACGCTTCAAATAGACGCCAGTTCAGCTCCGACCGAGATCACGCAACGTTTCGTCACGCACTTGCGTGGTGCGCCAGGGGAGGGGGGTGTTGCAATGCCATTGTTTCTCATAGCCTGGCGTAAACTAACTAGACCTAAACACAGGCGCAGCCAAATGTGAGGAAACAAGGGGTAAATGAGAGCAATTTTTGCTTCCGCTGTCTGTAAGAACGGGGAATGTAAACAAATCCGAATGCAAACAACCTGCTGAACTATATCTTCTGTCGCTGGTATGTATGTGCCTCCACGGGTGGGAACCAGTGGATCGGAAACTGCCTCAGGCACGGCAAATGAGCAGCATTCGAATGGATTATTCTGCGCGACTCATTTGGTTCGGTCCCGCAGCAAAATTAAACGGGAGATCAATGAGTGTAGCGTCCGAAATCCGAGGCGCTGATGGAAGTACACAGGAGCACATCATCGAACGTATTTCCAGGCAACGCATTGCGATAAGGACCCACCAACGCATCTTGAGCATCGCACTTGCCATGTTCACACAAATGTACCATTTGTGACGTTTTTTTACCGAATTTGTTTGCTGTTTTGCACACTTGCAAATGTCACAGGCCAGGTCCACTCGTCAGCCTGAACCCGTTCGTGACCCTTCGTGTGCCCATGACTGCGGGTCTGTCAGCGGCTCCACGACATCCATAAGCCCGCGTTCGCCTGAAGCCTCGGGTTCGTCCGTGACCCGAGGCCCGCCAGTGACCAGGACTCGGTCTGCGACCCCGTGTGACGTCACACCCTAGCACGTGACCTTCGCGCCGGCGTGCCGGTAGCCCCGTGTGCGTCTGCCTGGCCGTTGAGTCTGGGGCGCGTCCATCACCCAACCAGCGTCCGTGGCTCAGTGCGCGTCGGTGACGCCGACCTGACGTGGCTCCGGGTGCGTCCCGACCTTGCACGAGAGCGGGAGTGCTGACCTTGATGAAGTCGAACGTCTTGGTGAGCATGACGATGCAGGGTGAGCGCTCCTTCCAGACCATGCGCCAGAGGTCGCCGACCGTGCGCTCGTTCGGCCCCTGCGTCACGATGTAGGCGTTGGGCTTCAGCAGGCTCTGCAACAGGGTGAGGTTTCGGCTCCAGACGCCGTCCGGGGTTTCTCGCCTGTACGGACCCGCCGAGGTCAGGTGCGACCCGTCCGTGCAATTTGCTTGCCGTGCAGGCGAAGCATGATGATGAGCACGCGAGGCCGTTCGTCTGCTCGGATGCAGTTAAGATCAATGGGCGCTTCACCTTGAAATGGCATAGCATTCGCTTCCGAATAGCTTCGCTGCGACTGCGGGAGGAATGTTATGACACGAACAGATGGCTCGGCGGGGATCCGTGACTCAGGGCGAAACCACAGCCAATGTTGCGTGCGTGCGTGCGTGAGTGCGTGCGTGTGCGTGTGTGTGTGTGTGTGTGTGTGTGTGTGTGTGTGTGTGTGTGTGTGTGTGTGTGTGTGTGTGTGTGTGTGTGTGTGTGTGTGTGTGTGTGTGTGTGCGTGTGTGTGTGTGTGTGTGTGTGTGTGTGTGGGTGTGGGTGTGGGTGTGTGTGTGTGTGTGTGTGTGTGTGGGTGGGTGGGTGGGTGTGGGTGTGGGTGTGGGTGTGCAACTCACTGTTGC